TATCTTTGTGTATTCAGCATAGGGAAGTAAAAGTGGAAAATAAAGTTTATCTATAACCGTGGCTTACAAACAAGCTTGGTACCAACACGACAAAAATAATACCCGAAAATGATAGGATTAAGGTGCAATAACAAATTCTTCGCTCCATCAATTCTCCTTAGAAAGAATCCGAGATCTCAAAAGCGCTAACCTATCGCTGAACCCACTTAGAAGTCATTCCAATAAGATATTTATTTGGATGTGGGGATAAAGTATTCTGTTTAATCAATACCTGTTTTCAAAGGATGTCAGTACATGTAATAGTCTGTTAACTACAAAAAATAACCCAACAAACAATCAGAATAAGGCAAGAAGTACACAACAAAGACGTGAATCAAAATGTTTACAGAAAAGAAAGTTGCTAATTGAATCAGCAAGGTGACTTTTCTTTTGAGAAATAACAAAAAAACGTTTCTCCCCTCCTATTTCACACTGATTCAACATCGATGATCATAGTATCTGAAATGTTTTATTTCCCAGTTTCCTTAGCACCTCGGTTCCATTATTCTTCAGCACTGTATGAAGCAGCTTTCTTTTAGTGATTCCGTAAACAGATCGATCACAGTAGTCAAAACTACTTTAATCTAACAAATACTAGCTGTGTTTGAATAGCTCCTGTTCTCCTTGAAATGTCTCATATTATTAAATGCCAACCAGGTCTTCTGTACGCGTACCGACACTTTACCTGTGAAGCGTCCGCTAGGTTCGATAAAACTGCCAAAGTAGCAAAATCTCTCTACCTCCACTACCTCCTCAGTTAGAGTGAGGTTGGGGTCCGGGTCAAGCCATTCTTAGAGGTGCAAAATGCATACCGAACACTGCTACACTAGCACTCAAACTATCCACCACAGCTTGCAACTTACCCGGATCTCTGCTTAGAAACACAATATCTTCAGATCAAGCAGTCAATCATCCGGAAACAAATTTACACCGTTATCCTCGCACATGGACAGGGCTGTTTCCGTAATAAAGTTCATTACAAAGATGAATACAAAAGGAAAGAGAGAGAAGCCCTGATGAACAACGCTTTCCGTGGTGAACTCAGGCGAAAAGATGCCGTATGCTCGTATTCGGCTTTTAGTATGGAGATCGCAAAAATTGAAATAACCTTTTTGGACACAGCCTTCAGAGGGAGACAGCGGCAGAGGTTTTCCTACCAGGTGCGTACAGTGCTGCGGTGTCCGAACACAGATCGTTTGTCCTTATCCTGTTTTCTTTATGGCAAAATTTCTGCGGTATATAGCAGAAATTCCCCGTCCTAAAGTGTAATGTTTCACATCATCAGTAGAAGAAAACTATTCCTTTGCTCATTATTGAGATATTCTCAGTTCGGAATCGGCAAAGATCAGGTCGCGCTAGTCCCAAATGCATTTGAGGTCAAATTATTCTTCCTCCGATCAGTCGAATTTTCTGTTTCATCTTATTGTTCGGATTAAAATTCGTATACACTCGAGCGCACGCACGCCCGCGTACACACCCACACAAGTGAAGCTTTCTCGTGCACGGACTGTGACGCGCACCCGGTCACATTTGAATTTCTCCAGGTCGCACTGTTCGTCAACAAGACCCTTCAGAGGCCGTGATATTTGATCGTCAGTACACACCAAATTGGATGATTCCGAACGACCCACCTTCATGCATGCATGCGTGCACGTGATCGCCATTCTATCTATCCACCGGTGATCGTGCCGTACAACGCGGTTTTCGCGATTCACATGACACAACAATCTGTTTGTGATTATGTATGACCCTGTGCATCATATGACATGCGAACTGACGATTGTCGCTATCTTCTGTCATTTAGCCTAGTCCACTCGTTTATCGATCCCACTGCTGATGTAGCATTTGAAATCAATTGTTTTTCTGTTTTGATTGCTTATTTAGTCTGGTATCCCTACCCATTTACATATCGCGGCCGCAGTATCGATTAGTTTAAATTTAACCTCACTTGAGTAGCAATCAGTAAAGCCACGTCTGCTACTTGCACGGATGGATGGTGTGCATTTGACTCAAATAAAATG